TCCCTATTGGTAGCTTTCCTGCCCCTGCCTTCTAGTCCTTGCCTCTGGGCTGGTGTGCCCCTTTATCCTCATTTTCTTTTGTGGGCCTGTCTAATCTCTGGATGAAGGGGAACCTCAGGAGTGACTTCAATACTGAGCTAAAAGGGTGTCCGTGGGCCATACTCTCAGGGTTTCTCCAGTCTCTGTCAGGCCAGTAAGTTGGGTCTTTCTTGGAAGTTAGATTGTTGTTCTACATTTTTCTCCAGCTCTGTTCTGGACCTTCTATTGTGATCCCTGTCAGAGCAGTCAGTGGTGGTACCCAGGCACCATCTAGTCGTGCTCGACTCGGTCTGGTTGAGGCCATGGTAAATGTGGTCCATTAGTCCTTTGGACTAATCTTTCTCTTGTGTCTTTTGTTTTCTTCATTCTCCCTTGCTTCTGACAGGGTGAGACTGGTGGAGTATCTTAGATCATTGCTCACAAGCTTTTAAGACCCCAGATGCTAACGTTGAGGGACTTTTCTAAGTTCTATTATTTTGCACTCTCTTGCATTAGAATTGCATATTTATTTGTGCTATGATTAGTCACATATCAATGCAAGGCAACTGAAGCAAGTCCTTTGTATAGAAAATCCTTTACTCAATTTGATTAATTATCTACACAGAGACAAGAAGCCAGTTTCCTCATACATAGTTTTCCTTCATTGGCAAACTATTTTCCTTCTCTTTGACATCTTTGATTGACTCTTTGCTCTCACATCTCCATCATTAACACCAAATCATTTTGTTTGTTAATCTGGGCTGAGAAACCTAGAGTCTGACCCAAAGGAGAAGCTGCTACAATTTGCCTTGTGAATTTTGCTTCTCTTTTTATGCTTGATTAGAATGCTTTTAGTTGAACTTCTTGGCTAAACCAAATCAATTTCTAAGTCCAGAAAGTACCACATATGGATTTCAGATTTCTTCTTTAAGTGGAAGGCTAGTTTCACGTTCACTTTATCTCTAGTTTAGACAGAGACCGGTAGCAGCTTTCCAAAGTCAGTGACCGAGGAAAGATTATCCTTAGGATGTGCTCACATCCAAGTCAGGGAGCTATTTAACTCTGTATTTGAAATCTAAAGTAGATTTTGTAATAAAACATAAAAAAAACCTTCCCTTTCTTTCTCAATGATAAGTACTGGGAATAAAATTGTAGCTCTGGTTTATCCCACTCTTTCTTTTACAGGTTAAAGAACTCTGAAGACTGGAAGTGACTGTAAGTGAATAAAGAGAGCACTCTAAGGAACCCTACCTGGCTTCTCTTCAGTCTCTTCCTTTTTCAGATTTTCATCTTACTGTTTCAACAAGTTGTATGTTTATTATAGAAAAATGATTTCATTCTAATATTGTTTCATTAATCTTATTTTTTGCTTTTTTTAAAAAAGTCTCATAGCTTGTGAATCTGCTCGGAAGCAGATGTTTACCATTCTGATTGACTTTACCTGTACCGTACTAAGACTTTATGCAATTTTCAATTATAATAGCTTGCTAACACAACTAATATTTATATGCCACTTTATAGTTCTCATAGCTCTTTCAAATGAATGTTATCACAGATAAAGTATCAAAAGTTCAGAGAGTTGTGGTCAATTGCATAAGGACGTGAATCTTATATATTTTGTTCACTGTTATATTACCATGCCTACAGAGTGCTTGGCATATAATCATAGAAGGTGTTCAATAAGTTGAATGAATGAATGAACAAACAATATCACAAAATAAGTAGTGAAGCCAGGAATTAAACCTAGAACTTCTGATCTCAAATTTTATGCTATTTATAAAATGACTTCCTATGAAAATTTTCAGTCTTTTCCTTTCCCTAAAGACTGGCTAATCACACAATTGTGAATAAGGATTATGATTGGCTCTTAATATGGAAAAAAATGCCTTTAGGTTTTTAGAGAAATTCTGCCTATATTTGTAAACTAAACTAAGTCAATTCAATTAAAATTGGATACAAAGTAAAATGGTTTTAGATAAGAAAACTTTTGGTTTAATACATTTACCACTATTCAAACTCTTGTCAGACCTTGCATATACAGAGCTACAGTTCAGGAAGACATTTTAAAAGGCATAAGATTCTATGAGGTGTTACCATAAAAAAGCAATGACTATGGCCTCAATATTGAAAAGTCATGCCATGAATAATTATTATATCTGAGCACACTGTCATTGAGTGTCACTACAGACACACAGGGAGCGCCTCCAGGCTTGTGAAATTTGGCCATGATCTTCATTTCAAAGGGCCCTTCCTGGAAATCTTAGATCGTTCTGACTTTATTTTGAACAAGAAAAATTACACTATGTATTTACATGGAAAAACAGAATTTGCAAAGCAATTTTATATGCGTATTTTACTGTAGAAAATACAAAGGCAAGTTGTGTGTCTTCACTCTTAAGACTGAATTTATAGCTTCCTAAAGTTGTAAACATATTTAAACTCATGAGGCAGAATTTGTTCAGAAAAGCCAATTATATACCTGTCAAGTGCATAATAAGGTTAAAGGCTAGATCTCCATTCATTTTATCTCTATTAAACCTGCCAAAATTATACCGATGTTTACAAAAAGAGCACTCATTTCACATGAATCAGGTATTACACTTGCTAGCTACCCCCTTTATCTGGAATGGATTTCCTCATGGCTTGCTCCTCATTCCCCTGTCTTTGTTGAAATGTAACCTGCCTAGAGAGGCTTTCTCTGACCACCCAGTCATAATCTGTATTCCTTTGCTCTACTTTATTTTCTCCATGTTGTTGTTGTTAGGTGCTGTTATAGCGACCCTGCGTACAACACAATGAAACACTGCCCAGTCCTGCGTCATCCTCACAATCTTTGCTATGTTTGAGCCCATTGCTGCAGCCACTATTGTCAATCCATCTCGTTGAGAGTCTTCCTCTTTTTCACTGACCCTCTATTTTATCTTCTCCAGGGACTGGTCCCTCCTAATAACATGTCCAAAGTATACGAGATGAATTCTCACCATCCTTGCTTCTGATGAGCATTCTGGTTGTACTTCTTCCAAGACAGATTTGTTGATTCTTCTGGTAGTCCATGTTATATTCAATATCCTTTGCCAATACCATAATTCAAAGGCATCAATTCTTCTTCGGTCTTTCTTATTCAAAGTTCGGTTTTCACTTGCATATGAGGCAATTGAAAACATCATGGCTTGGGTCAGGTGTGCCTTAGTACTTAAAGTGACATCTTTGCTTTTTAACACTTTGAAGAGATCTTTTGCAGCAAATTTGCCCAAAGTAGTGCATTGTTTGATTTCTTGACTGCTGCTTCCATGGGTGTTGATTGTGGATCCGAGTAAAATGAAATCCTTGACAATTTCAATCTTTTCTCCATTTATCATAATGTTGCTTATTGGTCCATTTGTGAGGATTTTTGTTTTCTTTATGTTGAGGTGTAATCTATACTGAAGGCTGTAGTCTTTGATCTTCCTCAGTAAGTGCTTCAAGTCCTCTTCACTTTCAGCAAGCAAGTTTGTTTCATCTGCATATCAAAGGTTATTAATGAGTCTTCCTCCAGTCCTGGTGCTTCCTTTTTCATATAGCCCAGCTTCTCAGATTATTTGCTTAGCATACAGATTGTATGTGTCTGTCAGTTTGTCATACTGTGGTGGCTTGCGTGTTGCTGTGATACTGGAAGCTTTGCCACTGATATTTCAAATACCAGCATCGTCAACCTTGGTGGACAGGTTTCAACTGAGCTTTCAGACTAAGACAGACTAGGAAGAAGGACCTGGCAGTCTACTTCTGAAAAAATTGCCTATTGAAAACCTTATGAATTGCAGAATAACATTTTCTCCATAGCATTTATCATTAACTGATATAATATAGATTTTATTTACTTTTTAATCTACCAGCTCCCTATCCCTTTATGATGTAAGCTACATGAGGGTGGGGGATTTTTTTACATTTATGTTAGTTGCTTTGTCTCTAGAGTCTATAATACTGTATGGTGCATAGCAGATACTTTATTTGTTGAATGAATTAATTACATCAGAGATGGTGATCAATAGACTTTGGAAAATACTTTTTTATTGTAACATTAACTATACTAGAGAATGAAGAGGTTGTAAAAAGGACCAGCAAGATAAGTATTTCAAATACAAATTTAATTAGAAATGTCTGATGCTAATTAAAATTGCATGTAACCCCGTCTTTAAAGAGTAAGTAGCTGATCAGCTCAAATAGTATTAAATTCAATTACTATAAAAGGGAAATCATATTGAGAAAGGTAGAAAGTACAACTGTGATACTAAATGAATCATTCTTTTTTATTTAAAAGAATGTATGTTTCCAAGGTCCTAGGAAGATACTTTTTTTTTTTTTACTGCTAAGCCATTTAACCCGCTGCTATAAAATTTAAATTGTTTTACTATAAGCAAGTGAATGCAATCCCTGGCTCATGCTAGTTTTGTTACAAATAAATTTCTCTCTATTCTTATTGCAGATATCTCACATACCTGGCCACATCTCACTCCTTTGGTGTAATTTATCAGAGTAATTGGGCTGATTTCCATCTCTTTATACTGAACTAAGTTTCCTCTCCCTCCAAGATTTTGTAAAGGGCGCTAGAATCATTTTGCACTATATCTGAATGTGTAAGTACACATTGTGTCTTTCAAAGTACTTTGGAGATAATATACACTTCTTCTGCATTAATATGTTAGAATACAATGCAAATACTGCTTTCTCTCAACTTCTCTCCATTTTTATTGACTTATTGTTGATTGGATACGCTTACTATCTATCTTTCTTTACTTCCATCTTTCCTTCCTTTCATCCATCCATCCATCCAATCTATCATCTATCTTACATGCCAAAAGTAAATAATAATTCATGTAATTATTTAAGTAATCACAGAGAAAAGTATCTATTTCCTAACAATAATGTGAATAATCACTGTCTTTACCCTCACCATATTTTTTATAGTTATTAAAATTAAAATATTTATTTCCTTTACATGAAAGATGAAGGACTTATCTTTATCCATTCAATTTCTTTTCTATCCCCCTCTAGATAAATTCAGCAGCCCAGATTCAATTGATGGATGAAACAATAAGTCAGTGGTTACTGAATTTATTTTGTTGGGCTTGTCTAGCTCTCGAGAACTCCAACTCTTCCTTTTCTTTATGTTCTGTGTGTTTTATGAAGCTGCTGTTTTGGGAAACATCCTTATCATCCTCACAGTAATCACAGACTCTCATTTGCATTCCCCGATGTACTTTCTCCTTAGCAATCTCTCCTTCATTGATGTTTGTCAGGCTACATTTGCTACTCCCAAGATGATTGCAGACTTCCTCAATGAACACAAGACCATCACCTTCCAGGGATGCATGTCGCAAATCTTTTTCCTACATGTCTTTGGGGGTAGTGAGATGGTGCTTCTTGTTGCCATGGCCTATGATCGATACATTGCTATATGCAAACCTCTGCATTACATGACCATCATGAGTCTCAGGGTGTGCACTGTTCTGGTGGGAGTCTCATGGGCCATTGGCATCCTACACTCAGCCAGCCACCTGGCATTCACAGTCAATGTGCCTTTCTGTGGACCCAACAAGGGGAACAATTTCTTTTGTGACCTCCCTCTCGTGATCAAGCTTGTGTGCTTAGACACCTATGTTTTGGAGATCCTGGTGCTCACCAACAGTGGCCTGTTCTCACTTAACTGTTTCCTCCTTTTGCTCACTTCTTACACTATCATCCTTGCTACTGTCCATGGCCAAGCTTCTGGTGGGACATCCAAAGCTCTCTCAACCTTGTCCACCAACATCACTATTGTGGTTCCATTCTTTGGCCCATTAATCTTCATCTATATTTGGCCCTTTGAAAGCTTCCCAATTGATAAATTTATCTCTGTGTTTTTTACTGTCTTTTCTCCTCTCCTTAACTCCATCATTTACACACTGGAAAATAAAGATGTGAAGGAAGCCATGAGGAAGCTAAGGAACCAACATGTGGGTTCCAAGCAAGTCTTTTGATAACTAGAGAAAGTAACACACATCCTTACTTCTTGGCCACCGTAGTGACCATGTATAATTATTATCCTTGTGTTTATATTATAATTATCTTTCACTACTAGAGTTCTGGAAACTGGTGATCTAAAAGTTCGTAAATTCAGTGCAGAATCTCATATTATGATGACAGTCCCTGTAGTCTGTGGCTCACTTGATCTTCCCTAAAATATATCAATTCCATATATTAAAACTCCTAAATAATCTTTTTTTACCTTATATAGGATTTTTAAAAAATCTCTTGCAGCATTTTTAAGCATTAAAGATGATTTCCTAACTCTTCTGATTTGATCAGGTTAGCACAGACAATAACAGCATAATTTGAGTTAAGAACACTCTGCTTTGGCATGATAGGCTGCATGAATGCTCTAAAACATGTTCCTCTGCCTTTATCCTTATAACCTATAATTTTTCTAGCTAAAATTTGGGTCCTATAAATGGCTGAAAAAATTCCACACACACAAAAAAGACATTGATATTTATAAATCAGATTTTATTTTATATATCATTTGTGCTAAATCTTAAAGACATAAAATACTATAGAAGCAATTATGAGACTGAGTTTCGCTGCTCTGGCTTTGAGTCCAATAAAAAGCCTGTTGCCATGTATTCTGACTCATGGCGACTCCTTGTGTTACAGAGTAGAACTGCTCCATGGGATTTTCTTAGCTGTGATCTTTACGGAAGCAGTGAAGCTGAGTGGGTGTGAACCACCAATCTTTAGGTTTGTAGACAAGTATCAACTGTTTGTGACACCCAGGGACCTCTGAAACAAATAATGGCACACCAAAAATATAACTGTCGGTAGTTAAAATTACTACAGTACTTTTGCAACCCTCTGGAAGAAATTTTCTAACACTTACATACAAATTCTCTATAGTGCTGATAATAAGGCTACCATTAGTTGAGAATCACTGCAGGATTTTGCTTAGTTAATTTCATCTGAGAAGGTCAATTTTAAAGTAGTTATGGAAAACTCATACATGAGTAATTAGAAAGTATTCGCAATACTTCTCATTTTCTCAAATTTTAAGTGAAACTTCAGAAACATGTCAGCAACCATCTTACCATGAAAATGATAAGAGAAGAGTGAGCACATGATTGAGCCTGTCTTTTCTCAGTCATAGAATCTGTTACTGTCATCCTTGGATTATTTAATTCATTCCAAGAGGAGTTTGTTCTGTTTGTGCTAGCTTTCAATTCAAGCCTGTAGTTTCTGAACTGAAGATGAGATTGTCTTTTGGTTTTGTTACTTAGAATAGATTATCCTAAGGCAAATATTACTCTATCTCCTACCACACTTGTCAAAGTACCGAAAGCTTAACATGAAAGCATATACAGTAAGCATCACAAGGGAGATACCATAAACAAAACATTAATTTTCAGAGAAGTTATATTGTTGTTTCATACAAATGAGGTGTCTGGGAGTGACTGGGGTAGGAAGTCAATGGAAAACTAGACTGTCCATCCCTAAGTCTCCAAATTTTATGTAGTTATTGCACTTTGTAGGAATCTGATTTTGTTTTCACATTTTGTTATCCAGATGTGAAATTACTTAATTGGATCTTACTTCAGTAAACTGACTTTGATTTAAAATGGCCTGTATGAATATCATTGAATTGGACAATGAAAGGCATTACAAAAAGGCAAAGTCATAGTCCTCTGTTCAGGAATAGATTTCAAATCAATCAGGATAGCAATAAATATGTTTATAAATAGTTAGGAATAGAGGAAAGTAAAAGGTATTAGAGAAATTATAAAACATGTATATTGAGTGAATAATCTCAGTGTGGTAATGCTCAGTTCTGTTCAATTAAAAGCAACAAGATGAATTTCAGCAAACTTTTTTACTTACTTAATTTATACCAGATACTTTGAACACATAAAAGAGCACGAGGAAGATCCCCGGTCTCATGGAAATGACTGTATATTAAGGAAAATGCATTCATAAGCAAATATAGCATACAGGTTTTGAATGAAAAATAGTTTAATCTGAAGATAGGTAGGTAGGTAGATAGATAGATAGATAACTGCTGTCAAGTTGACTCTGATTCATGGCAACCTTATGTGCAACAGAACAAAAAGTTGCCTACATCATCCTCAGAATTGCCAGCATGTTTGAGGTCATTGCTTTGGCTATTGTGCCAATCCATCTCACCAAGGACCTCCTATGCTCTTGTTGGCTCTCTAGTCACCAAACATAATGTCCTCCTCCAGTGATTGATCCCTCCTGATGACATGTTCAAAGCAAGCGAGTCTGTTGTGGTGCACAAGGTTTTCACTGGCTATTACTCTGTACAAGCATTGCAAAATGGTATTGCCGGGAAAGGACACTTAGTTGGGCAACTACCAGGAAATCCCGTAACTGGACACTAACTTCGTGAATTTGCCCCAATTCTAGTTTTGGCCCACAGATTCATAAAGTCAGAAATCCTAGGCTGATAATTGTAAGAAACTTAGAAGATAACTTTTCCAAATTGCATTGAAAAATACAATTGTGAAATGAAACAGGTAGAGCATTGTGATTGGAACAGAAGCCAAATTATTAGTAAGTAGCTTTGGTAAATCTGTGTTAAAATTAAAAGTTTTGGTGACATGATTGGCATGTGTAAGGTCATCAGGCTATGCTACCCTGAGAGGGAATTACCCATCTGAACAATGGTGGGACAGGAGCTAGTATTATTTATCCCAGTGACTTCTCTTATTTTGACATACGTTCAGGGCTTGATAGAGTCTTTCCTTAGAAGTGTTAATGCCTCTAATAAAGTTAAAATCAAGTCTCACTGGTCTGAGAATCATTCTAACTGAGAGTTGGCATATGTTCTCTTAGCAATTATATAAGCTTGTAGAATTTAACTCTCAAATGACAGCCTTATTTCATCACTTCTAAAGTGCTGAGGGTCAAATATCATTCAAAGAAAAAAGTGTACAAGTGGCAAAAAAGCTAGACAAAATAGTCAATCTAACAGATAATAAAAATGTAAGTTAAAACAAGAGTAATGTGATTTTCCCGTATTAAATTGATGAAGTATAAAACAAAAAGATAATACTAAATAGTACTAAAATTTTACATGTATGGGAACTCTTACTTTGTCAAATTTACCAAACCATTTTTAGAAAGGAATATATTGTGTTTATAAAAATATTTTCAGACTCTCGACCCAGTGATTTTATTTCTAAGAGTCAATCTTGGAGTAATTTATCTCCCAATTTTATACCACAAAATTAAATGGGTAGATAATTTGGAGATCATGAATTCTAGAATATATAATTAAAAAACCCATTGCCGTCAAGTCAATTCCAACTCATAGCGACTCTATAGGGCAGAGTAGAACTGCTGCATAGGGTTTCCAAGGCTGTCATCTTTATGGAAGCAGACTGCCACATATTTCTCCTGCGCGGAGCAGCTGGTGGGTTGAAACCAGTGACCTCTGATTAATAGCCGAGTGCTTAACCACTGTGCCACCAGGGCTTTCCTAGAATATATAGTCCTCACAAAACGTTGGTGCAATCTCACTCATAAATAAAGCTATAAATTTCTTTAAGACTCAGCAATATGCATAAAAAAAGGATAGTAAATCATGATCCAGTTATGATTACTTAGGAACAGGTTGACTTAACATTTTGCAATCCTTCAATATAATTCACCACATTAACAGAATAAAAGAAAAAAGTATATATGATTATTTCAAAAGGTACAAAAAAGTATTTGATAATTATCAACAATCATTGTAGGAAAAAAATTTAAAATACTTTGGAAAACTAGGAATAGAAGTGACTTTAGCTGAAAACTTCAATATCTGGGCACAAGATACATAATGGTATCCATGAATCACTCGCTTATCTACTCCACTCATCTGGAATGCCAACAGAGAAGGCAATAGCAATGCCCACAAAAATAAACAAAAAATGTAGATATGTATGAGAGAGGGGTGGAGGATCACAGCATATCTGATTCAGAAAGATTTTAGATGTTAACTAGAAATAAAATTATTGGATCATGAGTCTGAACATGTTTTGATAAACACAACAAATTCCTTTATAAAAACTGTTAAGTAATTTTTTTCCTTTTTTTATTGTACTTTAGGTGAAGGTTTACAGAACAAATAGTTTCTCATCAAACAGTACACACAATGTTCCATGACACTGATCAACAACCCCATGACATGTCAACCCTCTCCCTTCTTGACCTTTATTTTTTTTTGGTGAAAATATACATAGCCAAAGATACACCATTTCAAAAATTTCTACATGCACAGTTCACTGACATCGATTACATTCTTCCACTTGTGCTGCTATTCTCACTTCAGATGAAGGTTTACAAAACAAAATAGTTTCCCATTAAACAGTACACACGTTGCCCTAATGACAAAGGTTAACAACACCACTACATGTCAACATTGTCCTTACTCAACCTCGGGTTCCCTATCACCAGCTTTCCTGCCCCCTTCTGCCTTCTAATCCTTGTCCTTGGACTGTTGTGCCTCATTAGTCCCATTTTGTTTTATTGGCCTGTCCAATCCCTGGCTGAATGGTGAACCTCAGAAGTGACTTCACCACTGAGCTAAAAGGGTGTCTGGGGGCCAAACTCTCGCGGTTTCTCCATTCTTCTGTTAAGTAACTTTTGACAAAATAGAGCTCCCATATATCCAAATTTTTAGTTCTGTTTAGTATTATCCTTGTTTTATATTTCATCAATACGTTAGAGGAAAATGAAATTACCTTTTTGTTTTAACTTGCATTTCATTGTGGCAATTGAATGGCCATAAGCAAAAGAAGGAAGGTAGTTCCCTACCTCACATGATATACAATAAGTAACTCAAAATGGATCAAAGTCCTAAATATAAGAGCTAAAACTATAAAACTTATAGAAGGAAATAGATGAAAAAGTTCATAATCTTAGATTAGGCAATAATTTCTTAGACATGATGTCTAACACACAAGCAACTGAAGTAAAGATAAATTGG